TTGGAATGTCCTACGATTAATTATCGCAAGAGACTCCTGGTTCGAAAGAATACAAAATTAAATTTCTATTACAAAAATTACTTTCGTATTAAAATACACAAATGTGACTTTAAAAGTTTTATTCAGTTTCCTTCGGTTCGGTGGTATAAATTCGACTAAAAACTAACTCTAAACAAATTGAATATATTCTTATACTATATGAAATTCAATACCCTACATTCTCAGACGAAAGTCATTAAAATTAATTGCTTTCACAAGCCCTTAGCCGGAGAGACGATACGCTGATTACAAAAGGGGATTTTTAAAATAAACATATTACTTAAGTATTAACTCGACATACCTAGCATTGCTCTTTCCATCGCGTGTTGAGTGACTAAGTATATTAACAACCTATTTAACTTAAATAACCCAAGACACATTAAAAATAAAATAATATTCATTCAATATACAAAAAAATAAATGCTTAATTTTGTAGCAATAAATAATTTCGAAAATATTTTAAATATTTGGGGTGGCCCGTTTTCTATGACGCGGAGTGTACAATGAATATTTTCTGAAAAATAATTATAAGCACTTTAGTATCCTCAAGAATGAAAAAAGCAAGGAATATTATAGTTGTATCTACGTCAATAGAGGAAAGGCACCAAATTTGAGACACTTTTTTTGAAAAACAAATATAAAACAGAATATTTAAAATTTTTAAAACATTCATTTCGAAAACTTAAACTTAATGTTTCTAGAACACAACAAAACAAAAAAAAAGCGAATAAAACATATATTTTTGCAAAAAAATACATTTAATTTTTTTGCGACATTTAATATTAAAAATAAAAGGTGCCCTAATTTGGGATAGTCAGGTATCTAAACTTGAGACAGGTACCTTAATTTGAGATACTATTCAAAAAAGCCCTTTCCTTCGCAGAAAAGGCAAATAAATGTGCTGGACTTTATTTCTCCACAGTCTTCATGTGCCCACCTGCCACATTGGTAACACTTTGCCCATCGTTCGCCATATCTATCGTCGGAAAATTTGCCGGTGCAAAATAAACATTCCGCGTCGTTTTCTTCACTTTCGTTGGACGATGAATCAGCTAATGGAAAGTTTTCACTGCTATCTGAGCTTGAACTCGAAGAAACTTTCCGCTTCCTTCTTGATGTTTTGCCTTTTGATGTAGAAGGTTGATCTACGTCTTCATCTGCTATTTCTTCTTCGGGCATTGCTGTTTTTTTTGATCTAACACCTTTTGTTGAACTGTTTTTTTCTGGAGCAAATACACAATCCAAGTTTAGCTGGGGTACTAGTTTTTTTGCTTTTTTCTTCTGCAAACTTTGCTCTAATTCTTCTTTGTAGGGTGTTAAAGTAATTATTGAAGCCTTTCCTGATCTGGCATGTGGTTTTTTAGTTGTATCTTTCTCGTAGAATCTAGGAATTGGACAGATGTCTTTCGGAGAAACAAGTTGTTGATGAGGTAGTGGTGGACTAGGAGTTCTATGTTCTTGTATTGGATGATTTGCTTGTTCATGGTTTATTTCTATTATTTGTTCATCCTTTTCGTTTTGTGTTTCTAAGTGCTCTTGAATTCCAAATTCAAAGTCCCTAAAAATATGGCGACAAATAGGGACCAGTCCAGTTTTGCGGAAACCATTGCAAGATATTTCCATCGTCGCAGCTTTGTTATACGCTTTACAAAAAATACTGGCAACGGCGTAAGGCGACACAACACTCAACTGATTTTCTCTAAGCCAGTTTTCTATTGCTTGTGCATAGTAAGTTTTCAGCGGTGCCATAAAAGCAACATCCAACGGTTGCATTTTATGTGTAGAATGTGGTGGGAGGCAAATAATCGTCACATGATTCTGTTTGGCCAAATCTATTAGAGCAACGTTTCTCGTATGAGAATAGTGACCATCAAGGACGAGAAGAACAGGGTCTGCAGCTGAAGGTTTAGTGAATTTTATGAAGTGTTGAAGCCATCTAGTGAAAATATCGGCCTGTACCCAACCTGACACATGGCATTCTGCGATTGCTCCAATGGGAGCTCCTAGCATCAACTCTGATTTCATATTTTTTCTGGGGAAGATTAATAATGGTGGTACGAAAACTCCTGCAGCATTCATACATGTAATAGCAGTAATCAGCTTGCCCCTTTCTGCTGAAGTAAGTGACGAAACCTGCTTCTTCCCTCTCATGGAAATTACTTTACTATGTTTGTGCTGAACAATTGTAAGGCCCGTTTCGTCTACATTGAATATACGTTGTGCAGGGTTAGTAAGCTTAAGATATTCTGGTTCATACAGGTCAAAGAACTTGGATACATTTTCAGGAGTAAAAGATTTTACTCGTGCACATGACATTCCCTGAGGAGTACGCATTGAAAGCGCCGGATGTCTTTTCAGAAAGAGCCTTAACCATTTCTTTCCGGCTGTTTTTTTGACTCCGCTAAATGGATGTGCTATTGAGTTTCGTATTGCAAGTTGAAATGCCAGTCGTTTTATATCACGCGCTCTTAGTCCGAAATAACGTTGCTCCATAATTAGGGCATACTCAACCAACTCATTTTCTAATTCCAAAGGAAGAATAGGTCGGCGCCCAATTGATATCCCGACAAGTTCTTCTGGAGTCTTGTCTGATTTCACATATCGTTCTAAGGTACCTTTTGGTACTCCAAAAACTTTTGAGGCCTTCAAATAGCCCATCTCTCTATTTCTTACTGTATTTACAGCACGTATCATATTATCTGCGTTCCATTTTTTATTTTTTGGCGGCATCTACAAACAACAAAACACATAAAAATAAAAAATTTACAAGGGGTCCTAATTTGAGACACTCTCAAATTTGGAACCTACAGGTATCTCAAATTAGGATTTTTCCGTTAAAAATAAAACGCATATTTTTTGGTTATGTATGACACACAATTATCGTTTAATTTGCATAAAATGTATTAACTAATATTAAACTAACAAAAAAAAATAATTGGAGTAAATGTAATCATCTTACCTTGATGTATTGTAAGTTTTTAAAAATTCCGAAAAAAATTTGTGTAATGTGTAAATCAAATTACCGTCGACAAAACAACAAAGGTCACTTCTAAGCGTCAACTAAAAGCAGATCTACCATTACTTCACAGAATGATCAGTTTTTAATATTTTAACTAGATGTCACACTATCGTACACAAATATACGACGGTGTCTCAAATTAGGCGCCTGTCTCAAATTCGGTGCCTTTCCCCTATTTGATATAACTTGAAATAAAACAAATTAGTGACTTTTACGCCTTGAGAATACGTGAACCTGAAGTTCTAAAATGTTCACTAAAATGTTTGATTGTGATCACCTCAAATATGTGTATAAAATCTATAATAAATATAAACTACGGATAAAACAAATCTGACCTTACATCGTATGTATATAGATACCGTAAATGCATGCTATTAATAGTTCGTTCGGTTTGATTCAAAATAAACAAACCATAAATAAATTAAAGGCACTAAACTCGAGACATAAAAGGCACCTGCGTAAAGATGATCGTTGAATCATAAAAATCTCGGCTACTCACAAATGAAGAATCGATATTGTACTTACAGTCGGCGGCAGGTAGTCACAGGTAATAACGTTCTTTCATAGAACGGTCGTCGATAAAGGCACTTGACAGGTTGCACCCGCGACAGGTGTATTGGTACATCTCAAGCAGCGTAGATGATTTAATTAAGGTACCGAATTACGGTGGCTCACATTAGACTAAACTGGAACGGAATAGACTGAACTGAATGGATGGAGGAAACGGCAAACAGAATTGACGCAGTGTCATCGAATTGGAGGACGTCTGTACAAGAGAGAAAATTTACTGTATGAAGATAGATGGATAATGGTGAATTGAAATTACACATACCGCCGTTTGATGAAGACCGCATGCAACAGGAACCACAACGAAAATGAATTCGATTTTCGATATTTAGACCGGCTAGGGACAAAAAAGGAGTGTGAGTATTTGCCGAAGATTGACAAGAGAAAATGGTATTTAATTGATAAGTCCGTTGATTTCTTATTTTCTGCTTTCTTCTGAGTGAAATCATTATTTCATAGAAGAGCCACATCTCAGTTTTTCTTTGAAAATAAGCTGGGTTGTTCGACAATAGGAACGAACTTCTTTGTTAAGAGAAAGAGTTTCTATTTAACTAACGAAAGATAATAAGAGCAAGAACAAACTGTGAGCTATTTCGTTGTTGCGAACAGGCGTGACAAGTCGCTCATTGGGTTATTCTTAATGGATCTAGCAAAGTATATGGATATCGGTGGCGTGAAAATAATTTTCTAAAAGGAATAATTAAAGAGATTTTAAACATGCTTCAACTTCTTTAACGACGCCCATGTAGATAGAGTGGATGGACAGGTTTGAATTTTAGGTTTTGGTCAGTGTTTAGGCGTGATTAGGGTCGTAGAATCATCTAATACATCACGGAGCTTCTTTTGGAGCTCTACGTGGTTTATATGGTGGATGGTGGTAAGGTGAGTGACTTGAGTGGGGAGGACTTTTATAGAGGCGATCTGGTTAAGGAGTTTATGGGTGTTAATGATTCTGAAGAAATCACAAGGAAAGTTTCCCGAACAGATAATACATTGGATGGACTTTTCCAGAGATATGTGTGAGATGGTATGGTCTAAGATTTTGGGTGTAGAGGGTTGGTTTGATGTAGAAGGATAGGATAGGTGAAGGGAATATTGGTAGGTTGTGGTCTAGGTGAGTAAATGGCAATAGCATATGATATAGGTGTGGTTATTTGTGTTTTAGAGGGTTAGTTACTGTGTACCGTGGATGTAGGTTGTATGTTGTGTATAGACTGATGCTTCTGGTTTTTCCTTAAAACTATCTCCACTAAAACACTACAAGTTTGTAGTTTTTAAACTTCCACTTCTGCCTATCATCATTCACATTAGAAAATTGGTGTTAAACGATATTGGTTTCTTATGTAAATTTGCATTAAGACACCACAAATTCTTTAAATAATATATTTAAATTCACAATATATACTACATAAACTTATATCAAACTATTAACGATTAGGAATCCAAGCTTCAAAGACGTCTTTGTATTGTTTTCTCTCTGAAAAATATACAAAAAAGTTATCAACTGCATTAGTTTTCATTAGCGTTGGTATAAATGAGATTTTAGAAAAACTATGAAAGTATCACGATAATTATTTGAACTCAATTACATATACGTGAACTGAGAATATTAAAATACTGCATTCAATATGTAAAGACATTTATGTGCCGCTTAGGTTTGTAAAAGATATTTTGAAAATAATAAAAAGTTCTATTACATAATATCTGTTGATGTAGAATATATTTTATTTATTTCAAGTTAAAATTAAAAAGTTATTTCTGCTATACTGCTATATTGAGTATCCAAATACCAGAAAAATTATCAAATTTTTTAGAGTTATTTTTCTCCGTAAATACAAAATGTAACATAGAATATTGTAAAAATATGTCAAGTTGTTGTCATTTATTTAGTCTGTTTTGCCATATCACCATGGATAGATATAACATATACCTTTTGCAAATGGTAAAATGTTTTATCAAAATGGATTATCTGTTCGGGAAACTTTCCTCGTGATTGTGGTTGTGTCAAAAGGACACAGAGATTTCAATGCCAAAACGTGATATTAGGGAAATATATTATTAAACACCAGAATGAAATTGTTACTATAATACAGTATATCTTTAAAAAATCCTACTTTACATAAACAAGGCAATTCACACATTTAAAGTGAAAATGTAGATAGTTAGAAGTTGACCTAGGTCAATTTTATACATGTTAAAATGGACAATAAATTAAAAAATATAATCTGTCTTTCTTTTAAAAAGTGAACATGGAAAATCCAATGGCATGGAGCCAGACACAACATTAAATTTAAGTCCAATGGTTCAGTTAACCATCAACTAAGACCCACATATCAATTAAATGCAATATATACTATATACAAAGAAGAACCTACTTAAAAGTACATATGAACAAACCATCAAATATGTTTCAAAACAAAAATATATAACCACTATGAGAAGAAATTTTTACAGCTTATATCCAATGGTCAGTATCAAATTAATATAAGAATAGTTTAGAAACCTAAACAAACTGTGTATAGATGACTTAAATGAGCTTATCCTATGCATTTCAAGCTCTAATGAAATAAAATGTCAAAAAGTGGCAGGTAACCTAATGAATTCACCATTCATTTGATGGAATAGATGGAAAGAAGAATACTGTTAAGAATAAAACAAATATGCAAAAATGACATAGGCACCTAAAAAATGTATCAAGCATTAGACCATTTAATAATCTACCTAATTCTACTCAGAAATATGTATGTCGACAGGAGCACAAATAGATATATTGAGAGACCAAGCCATAACCCCAATGTTTCGGGGTAGGTATAATTCCATATATCTATGTATATAAATTGTTTTTAATAGGGACTGAAAGTTAAAAAAATTGCAAATTTACACAAAAAATAATTATTAAAAACTTCTGGATCTAAACAATCAATCTCTTCAATGTCTTGATCTTGCTCATGTATTTCTATGAGTTCATCAATAGTCACCTTCTGATCCATTGATCAAAAATTTAGCCATTCTTGAACATTTTCACTATCCAATTCTAAAATTTATTTGCATGGTGATATCAGCTTCTTTAATAGCATTACTAATTTCATCAGGCTCTGGCGTTAATTCCACCTTAGTGTCAGTAATGAAAAATAAAAACAAAGCTTTTTCCAGATGCCACTTAATATTTTTTGTCATATTTCATTCCACGATTTTTCAACAATTTTCACTGCATCTCTAATAATCTTATTGGATTGTTTCCAAAATTCTTTAAAAAAGTCATTGTTTTTTTTATAACTTCATGCAGATGTGCAAATAATTGTCTGGGTGTAAAAAGCTTTGAATGTTTTAATATGAATACCTGATCAATCTGTTGGAGTAAACTGTTTGTATTAGGAGGCATAAATTCAATTTTCATAACTGGGTTAAAACTATTTAAAGTTACAGGAGGATAACTTGATGAGTTGTTGATGATTAACATAATTTTAAACGGAATTTGTTTAGATTGACACTAATGTTCGACTTCAGATATGAAATGATGACTAAACCAGTTCTCAAAAAGGAAAGCTGTCACCCAAGCTTTACAATTACACTTCTACATGCCAGACAAACTAGATTAACATTTATTTTTTAATGCTCTTGGATTTTCTGAGCAATAAACTAAGACAGGTTTTAACTTACAACCACTGTCATCACTGACACTGTGACACTGAATCACTGTCAATTGATCTTTGGCAGTCTTAAAATCTGGAAAGCTTTTGTCTTCACATGCGATAAAAGTTCTTTTAGGCATCTTCTTCCGGAACAGGCTTTGGTTAGTGTAACCACCTTTATCTATCATAACATTTAATTTCTCTGTGCCAATCATTACTAGCTTTAAACCCTTCATTTTTAGCAGTCTCCTCAGCATACTCTTTCAATCTCTCAAAAATCAGTTTCGCTTGAAAGCACATAGGTTGAATTTAAAAATTATGCACTTTTCACAACCTCGAGAATTTCTTCTTTTTTATCATAATTGTTCTGTCTGTCGATTCCGATATATCATACTTCGGATGAGTTTTACATTTGGTCCCATTGAAAATAGCTTCAAATTAGCTGTCAATTAAATTTTACAGAACGAAATATTGTGTTGGCAGTGTTGCCATGTTCTTATAATGCATATGTTATATGCTTCCAATACAAAGAGATAAAGCTTTTAAAAGGTACATTTTTATTATATTATTTTATGGATTCTGCAATTTTATGCCTTATTTAAAATATTAATGAAGTAATATTTGTTTTGTTTGATATTAGTTGCAATTCATTATTAAAAAATTTTTTTGGCAATTACCCTTTGATAGGTTAGTGGATAGATTTGGCAATAGAGTCAGAACCCTCAAACCACCAGTTGCCAGATTGCAACAGTTGCATTTTTAACTTTAGTATTTATACTGACATTTCACTATTTACTGTTAAAAACTGTTTTAAAACTATTTACTTTTTCTTTTTTTGGCAATTGTTAAGTATTAGTTTTTAAATATCTTATTGCTTTTAATTGCATATGTTTCATTTGTAATGTAAATTTCAACACTGCCAAATACCAATATTTCATTCTGTCAAACCCATTTGAAGCTATCTTCAATGGGACCAAATGTGAAAATCGTCTCATACTTCTTAACTTAATCAGAAATTTGCATTATTGTATCAAAATCTTTAATTATGTTAAGTTTACACTCCACGATAATGTTTTTTTTTGTTTGATACAGGAGAATCAATTTTACTTCGTTTGGATTACATTCATAGTTTTCTTAGATATAAAATAAAAATCTCAGTATGAAAATAATATGTAGGTACTCTGCAAATCCAACTTAAAAAAAAACATACACACACATTCTGTAGACACAAAACCATAGCTAAGATATACATAACATAAAATAAAATGTAGCTATGCATTGATGCACGAGAACAAAAAAATGCTAGAGACAGCAGACGAAAACCCTAAGAAAAATCGAGAGTAAGAAACTATGGGATATAGCTATTAGTACAGATATACAATGACAATGCAAAGCGGAGAACAAAAGTAGAAGGGAACCTATAAGCCAAATGAAAACAAATAGAGTAGTAATGACAGTGAGAGATGGTTTCAAAATAGGAAGACAACTTATTGGTTGTCTTCCTAATAGGAAGACACTAAACTTTAATGAGTTTGCGGCACATTTCAAGCTTAAATTACTGCTTTAAAAACATAGGCCAGACGTGCCTTATCATGAAAGTATAAATATGGGAGAATCGTTAACTATGATTCCAATAATTATTAAAGGGTAAATTTTATTTACTTTGTTTGAATCTCTTTCTTAAATTCGTAGACCTAAATAATATTGATTATCAATTTGCACAAGTATTTACCAAAAGGTGGAAAATCTTCAGGGTGTAGTTCTATATAGTGACGAATTACAGCATCTCTGTCTGCTAAGTATTTGTTCCTATAATCATCAACTATTTTCCCAATGCCACCGCAAACACCAGCAGCTAAAATGTGTTTCTGGATACCTAAAAACTCACTAAATATAGTTATGTAATGGTTTTATTTTTGATTTGAGGTTATAGTTACCGCTGAAAAGGGGTTTCCTGGTTCCATAATTAGCTATGATCACACTAACAAATCCCATGGTACCTAATATTAGTGGATTCCATACTTTACTTAAAAGTGGTGGTTCTCTATATCCTTCAAATAACTCCAAAGGAGTTGTAGCAATTTTTGGACCAGTCGCCATTTTTGTTATTATGACAAGAGACAAGATAAGTCAACCACTTGAACCACTTCCGCACTTCCACTAAAGAGGGGGTTTAAGTAGATCTTCTTATTCTCAGTAAATAAACTTTCTTCTTTTTATTGGCATCATATATATCACAGCAAAAATACTTTTATAAAAGTCTTTGTTACACTTAGCACCAATTATTACTTTTCATACTTGTGACTACGTTATAATTAATATAATTCTTCAAAAAATATATATTCTCTACATAAAATAAAAAAAGAAGTAAATTAAACTTGCCTCAGCTGATAGTGACAGTATCCACTAATCAAAATGTTGTTTGAGGTTATGTTGAAATTAAGAATATTTTTCTTTTTGTATATTATTTTGATTTTCTTACCTCTAATATATTCTGAAACACAAAATCAGGAATCAGAAGCCGCAGAAGAACTTTGTATCCTTTAACAATGTAAAACATTCTTAATAATATTATTTCGTACTGTTTTACCACCTTAACATTTACACATAGATAAAAAATTATTTAAACAACAGCGACTAGAACAATTAAACGCAATAAAGAGCTTCGAAAAAACATCGAATTATGAAAAGCAATATGCTATGATTACTTTAATGGCTGAAAAGATATTTGATACTATTACAGAAAGTAGAGTCTTTGTAGAATCCTCATTTGTGCCGGGAATTTCAGAGTTTCCTTTGGATAATGAAAGAAAGGCAGCTATATCCAGCATATTGGAGAATACTGTACTATTTTCCGAGATTGCATTAAGATTTCCAGAAATTTCTACTTCTTTATTAAAAAGAAATAAAAACTGGGATCTTGTACTTCAATGGGGTATTGCATTTACTTATCATATGAGGCATCTTTTAGATGATAATACCATACAGCTGCTGAGATTAGTGAGTCAAGAATTAAATCATGTTGAAAGACACCCAGATTATGTAAATCCCTATAGAAAGTCTCCAGAAGTACAAAAAGATATTGTACAACCAAAGCCGAAGAAGAAAAAGAAAATTATCAAGAAAGGACCAAAGCTATCTAGTCGTTTTGAGTTGTAAAAACTTTTTAATGTCAATAAAAATGTTTTTAAATGACTTATTTTACTTTTTTGCCAAATAATATTAGGGGACAATTAACATTCAATACTTTTTTTTGAAGTTTGGTTTATCTGAAAGTTATTGTTTCTTTATGATTCTAACTTTTATTTTCTAGCAAGGAAGGGCCCAATAAGAAACTCAAATGTTAGTCAAACTGGTTTAATTTCCTGGATGTAAGACAGAAAACAGGAATACTTCTTATCCTTGATTGCAAGTCAAGCTTGCCACATTGTAGAAGAGTCCTAAGTAAGTAAAGTATAGATAGTCCAGCAAAGCGTGTTAAAGAGTATGTGTCAAGTTTGTATTCAAAAGACAGTAGTTCTAAGTGAACACACTGTAAGGCTCCATTTCTAGATGTACAACTTGTTAATAGTCAGTCATAATGTAATTACTCAGCTCAGCATGCTGCAAGCCTGTTCCCTATTGACTACCAACACATAAGTCATGTATGAAATGTCTGCAACAATTTATACTACCTCTATATAAGTAAATAGAGAAATAGTGGCAGAATGATACACTACAGTGCATATCTTTCTTTTTGCTAATAACTCTGTTTTATTCTGTATGAGTCTATTATATCTTTATTCATCTCTTCTCTGCTTTTGTTGGTGATATTCTCTTACATATACAAAATCTGTATTCGATATCTCTTGCTAATACTTGCCTTTATGTAAGACTTTTTCGGCATATGTTGTAAAACCACAGTATATGGCTAAAAATTTTTATTCTTTTAAGCAATAAACCAATATAGACGCATATGAGTCTATCCTTTGATTAAACTGTGGAAATAATCTGTCAATCTGCACATATAGGCTCTATACAGAGTAGGTTTGTGATTTCTGTCAAGTTTTATTTGTTATAAAGTCTTCATCTTGACCAAATGTACTTTTGCTTAAATTCATAGCTGGTTTCAATATGAATATAAGTCATACACAGTATACAAGTATGGTTTCTCTTAGTCATCTAGACTAAACTACAGCTTTATTTATTTGATGTATTATTTCACATACCTACGGATCACAATTCACGCTAAAGATATATAGAACCGATAAACTAACGTTGCTGGTCATCTTCTGTTCTGTTTGAGACATTATTGTTAAGTCTTAATTAACTGTGTACAGTAGGTCCATATATTAGTTTATCCGTAGTTGGTTGTGTTTACGAATGTACTGAGTTTGTCTTCTTGTCTAACCTCGTGTGGTATTGGTATGTTTCCAGTAGTCCCGTTATTTATTCTTAACACTGCAATATTGTCGGTGTTTAAGCGATATATTGTTTTAACAATCGGTTCAGGTATTTGCTTTTGACTCAATAAATCCAGTATTACTTTTAATGGAATAGTGGTTTGTTGTACTTGACCGGTTTGGGCCGATTCTACATTCCAGGTATAAATTGGAGAATAGTTATTCTGAGTATAACTTATACTTGAGTTTATTCCAAGTATAACCTTTCGAGCGTTCTACATTGTGAAATCGACAGCGGAATAGTTATTCTGGGTATAACCACAGAACACTAAGGTAAAACGAAATAGTAGATCTGATGTCTTCAAAATTAGTTCAAATTGTTATTGACAGCGACATTTGGCATTTGTCATAACTGTAAAATTTGTTTACAATTGAAAGGAATTGAATAATTGATTCGCTTTATCTGGTATTTTATCTACGTTTATATTATTATACTTTTCAAAATTAATATAAAATGAATAAAAAAAGATGTAAAATTTCCTTCTTAAATTTTTTGTTATCATCAACTGAGATTAGTGTTATAATATAATAACCAAAATTATGTAAATATATCTATATTATAGGTATACTCCACATTTTAAAAAAGTATAAATATTGGATTACAAAATAAATAATTTTAGTTAAAGAAATGTTTATATAATACAGATTCTAGAATTACAGTCTCTGTTATCAAAACATTAAAAAAGATATTTAAGGGCCGGTTTAGTTGTCTAATTACAAAATTTACCTATGGTGTAGATCTATTTAGTCAGAGTCTTGCTGTTTATTAAAAGTTCTGTAAAAAAACTTCATCATCGTGGGAAGCAGTGTTAAATATTTCATTTTCCGGTTTTATTTTTGGTCCTTCTTAAAGAGAGGCGTAGTAATACTGTTATACATCGGGGCTAACGACCATTTTCGGATTTTGTTGAAATATTTAATAGTTGGTTAGGTAGGTATGTCGTCTGGACATGAGCACTTTCTGTTTTTCAAATACCTCAGTTCATGTATACCTTTCTGCTTACAGCTTTCCTAGCTGTTTGTAAAGTTGAGTTTATTGTTTTTTGTTTTTCTTTTATCAAAAGATAATTTGATGCAGAGGTGAAAACAATTGATCCTTGTGAAGGTCTTGAACTCCTTGCCTGAGGTAGTGGCGATATATCATTATGAAGTTACAAAAGTATCCTCCAGCGATGATGGAATTTCATTTTTTTAATGCCACCTTTCTGTTCTGAACTGCTAACTTGCCAGATTTCATGTGTTCTGATTCGTTGTAAAGAGAAAGTGTTCCATATGGGCGCCTTGAAATAATAATTCATTTCTTCGATTATGCGGAAATGTTATTGCTGAAGGAATCAATAGATCCGCATCATTTACACAGAGAACAACGAAGAAATTTTGTTCGTTGTTCTCTGTGTTTTGAAACCAACCTGTTTCCTCCCTTTATATGCTAAAATTTTGGGCAACTTGCTAAGTACCGTCGGGATTCTAGACTCATCCATATTATATAATATGCTCATAGGATTGAAAACTTAGCGATTAAAAACCTAGCGAAAAAAAGGCATTAAAAACTTAGTGACTGCTTTCTCGCTCTTTCTAAAAGAAATCTTTGGATGTCTCTTATCAGGAATTCTAAGAACTATTTGGATGTTTAACTTTATTTAGTAGGCTAAGCAAGAGTAAAATGGTCCCCGGAGTCCTTTTGCCTTAATATGGAGGGATTATTTTATCTCAAAATCTGATCAAATATAAAAAAGAAATTTACATAAGGTGACTTCTGATAATTATAGAAATTGCAAAAACTGATATGAAATAAACAGAAAAAATCCGTTTTAACACGTTAAGCCCCATGTGTACCACACTGGCACATACTCTAGTTTTATCTGGGATCGTGTGTAAACAAAAAAAAACGGTATGTGGTAAACAAAATCAGACGCTGGTCAGTTAAACCACGTGTTCACAAACAGGTTAGGTTATAATTTCTAACATGTTTCTAACATACTTTCTTAGACAAGGAATTCCTTGTCTAAGCATACTTCAGTCAGTATCGGTTCGAACGTCTAACGAGGCTAAGACTATTTTCTCTTCAGTTTTTTGTTAAAAAGTGGAACTAAAAAATAAGATAATGTTTCGTAAAGGACTATATCGGATGACGAACTTAGCAGAATTGATGGGGAGAGTGACTTTAGTGATATCAGTATGCCTGACAGTACGTTTTATGATTCCGATTCCGATCCAGTGTACAATGAAAATGTTACTGATGGTTAAAAAAAAGCTAAAATTTGCAAACAAACACAAAATTGCAAATAATTTACTGCAGGTCCTAGTTCTAACCAAAAGAAGCCTGATACAAGAAGGATAGGTAAGTTACTTAGGAATGCAAAATTTCTGTTTGTAGTTTACTTTTTTGCTTTGTAGAAAAAGCTGAATCTGCAAACATTAGCCTGGAAGCTGTTATTGACGATGTTGTATCAAGAAATAAAATAACATGGAGCGATGTGCCAAATCCAGATGATCTCAATAAGTTCGAATTATCCTTTACTTCAGGAATAAATCAGGAAGAAATTACAAAACTTACAGACCACACACCAATAGATTTCTATCTACTGTTTATCGACCGTCAAGTTCAAGATTTGTTGGTTACTGAAACTAATAAATACGCCGAACAAATAATAATCGCTGGTATTATAAACGAATCAATAACGAAATATTCGCTTGGAGACCAATTGATAGAGAAGAATTGCTTCGATTTTTGGATCTTTGGATTATTTAGATAGGGTTAGACAGAAAACCCGAACTCAGAGATTATTGAAGTAACAATTTACTTTACAAGAATGAAGTTTCTAAAATGTGTGAAATAAGTAGAAGTCGATTTGAAATAATATTACACTTCTTTCATATTTCAGATAACGAGAGCTGCCCATCTGGAAACAAACTCTACAAAATTTCTCCTCTTGTACAAATACTCAATGAAAAGTTTCAGAAAATTTATACTCATACAGAATCATTACGTATTGACGAAATTATGGTGCCATTTCGTGGTAGACTTATTTTTTTGCAATACATTTCTGGAAAAAGACACAAATATAGAGTCAAATTGTTTAAACTTTGCGTCGCAGATGGATATACGTACGCCATAAAAGTGTACGGTGGAAAAGAGATGCAACCATCTGAAAAGTCGTTATCATCCAGAGTGGGATGGAACTTATACAACTGCTTTTAGATACAGGCAGAACTTTATATACTGATAATTTTTATACGAGTGTTGACTTGGCCTTTGATTTAAATAATCAGAAATCCCATTTAGTCGGAAAATTACGTGCCAATAGGACATATAATCCAAAAGCGGTAGTCGATGCAAAATTAAAAAGAGGTGACATGAAATATCTACAGAGTAATACAAAAGTTGTTATCGGAAAATGGAAAGATAAAGGACGTTTTGTTTTTAACGACCAAGGATATTCCTTTGATGATAGTTATCAATGTGTCGGTTCAAAAGGCTGCATATAATTCTCCTGTTCTACCAAGTATAAAGTGGTATCGTAAATTGGCTGTGGAATTACTAACAAATACCTTAATTGTGAACTCCTTAGTTCTCTACAAATCTGTTACCGGCAAACCTTAATTACTCCGTGAACAGATTGTTTAAAGTCTTTTAATGCCACAAACAACTTCTGAAAACAACTCTGCATACGTTGGATGAGAAAGAGAAAAGGGGAAGGTGTTCAGTATGTTATAAGAACTCTTCGAACCGTGGAGGAAGAACATCAGCGATGAAGAACGCCAAAAGGGTGTCTACATACACTACTTTGGTCCGGCATGTGCCGTTACTACCGCATAGATGTGTGTTAAGTGTTTTGTGAATATTCATAACATGTTCTATGAAAAAAGAAATTGTTTTGTATTTTAACTTAATACTTGGGAAAATCTTTTGATTATCGTCCTGGTGTAAGCCAATATATGGCACACATGATCCACATTAAAAAAAGTTACAAAAATAATTATAAATAGACCGTGTTTACCGTGTTGGTACATGCTGTTTTTTATTTTAAAAAATGTATTTTTTTATTTTAGAATAGAAATAAATATTATACACATTCTTATTTCAAAATTATTTTAAAAATGTTCCGGTCTGACAGAAAACTTATATCATTGTTTAAAAAAGACAACTTCCAATTTAAACAATGTTTATATCATGATGGTCCGGGATAACAATCAGAATGCCCATTCTCAGATGCCGCCTTTGAAGTTTGTCAGCACGCGAACGCCATGTCTTAGACGGAAACATAGACTCGAATTGAGACATTTGTGACAAGCTACGACAGAACTGTACCTAAATTTTTAGAGAATAATAATTTTAGTATATTTGAAATAATTTAATCGATTCTTCAACTAAAAGTACTACGAATAAAATAGTGCATATTATGTCTGTAGTTGCCGTAAATAAATTAAACCGGGTTAATTTGTCTATGCACATTAGAAAAAATGTCACTGAACAGCACTGGTTCCGTTTAAAACATGGTGATTCCGGCTGTGCGTACTTATTTTTTTAAGCAGAGTGGGCATTCTCATTCTGCATTCTGATTCTACTATTATATTATTTATCTATGTTCTGATTGTTTATTATTCTGTGGTCCAGGGCTTAACGTGTTAAACTCCATTAAAAAATATATACTTACTTCAATCAAAACGCCTAAAAATCATAAACATAATAATAATAGACTATAAGGTCTTACGTATAAGAATTACCTACCCTTACGGCCTTACGACGGTTTTATGAAAATTATGAGAGAGGACCATTTTACCCAACTTTCCCCTAATATAAATTAACAATTTTGAAAACTCCCCTCGATAAGTAAGAAAGAAGAATGTAAGATTAGGTTATGTTGTGTTGTGTATGTTTGTCTCGTTGTTATGGAAACAACATATTTAAAAAAATATATACAAATATTATAACTTAAGTTTTACTTTTTTATTTGTTTTTTTCTCAAATCTTACAAATAAATAAAGATGCTGCGAGATGATGATATAGATTTATTAGTAGGAAAGAAGGTAAATATATTATGTGTAATATCTATGCTGGTAAAAGATATGTTACATGCTATATTACCAAAATTACATTATGTTTTAGTCTGCCCCTAAACAAGGCAGAAGATCGGTTAAAAATGCCGAAGAACCAGAAATTGCTGAAGAATTATCTAAGGATATGGATGACCTGCACATAAGAGCTAGAAAAACTAGTTTGTGGAGTGATGAACCACCTAAATCATCTAGGTTTGTGTATATGTGTGTTTCATTTATATAAATAAATAAATGCAAATAAACCCTCAGAAATAAGCTGAAGATATCGACTATGGTGTAGTTCATCATCAATAGAACAATGGTGGAGCTCTGATATAACAAAACAAGAATAAGTTGACCAAAACAAATCAGCACATTACTTAAGGTTTATTTCACTGATAGGTTGTTATAAACTTAATTTTAGTATGCACTATTAATATTAGTACAATTTATGAGTATAATAATAGATATTTTTTATTTCAGATCTGAGTCATCTGGGCGAAATATGATTGAACTGTAAGTACAATTACAAATAGGAATTAAATTAGGTGAAGAATGAAGTTGTATTAGTGTTAAATAATTAAATTAAATTTCTTATTATTCAAGGTAAAAAATTCCATTCAAAAAATTTTTCTTATAATATATTGGTAATAAAATTAACACATCTCTCCTTATTATGGGTTCATTTATATTATGCATTTACCTTGCTTAACCAATCCAACAATTCAGTTATGTAGTAATCTTATTTTTATTATTTCTGATTGAAAATTTTGATTTTCTTCCTGTTACGGCACTACCTATACACTGTAACCTGAAGCAAAACCTACTCTTCTATCTTCCTGCTGTGTATAAGCTAGGTAGAATTACAAGATTTATTTCCAAATCTTGATAGTTCCGTATCACTTTTACAATTTAATGTTAGAACTATATTTTCCAAGATGTATTTATTATTAATTATTCATTTCAGGGAAAGGTTTCAAAATGAGATAAAACTGGATGCAGATGATATTCCAATCATCCCAGATATAGAAGAGATTCAAGATGATACTTTCAAAGATTCCAAGTCCATGTAAGTTGAATGGTTTTTGTCACTCTTATGTTAACAGAACATAATCTTCAACATTCTAGAGTTACACACCTCTGGCTTTCTTTGATTACAGTTAAACTATGGAGTATATAAAAAATGTTTCAAACAAAATTGATATATATCAAAGATATCTATAATTTCAAATTATTTTCGATTATACAGGGTTAGTAAGAACAATAGAATGAACTAAAGTTGTATTTTTTAAATGGTATTTTAAACCATTTTTGAATATATTTTTTAAAAATATGAAGAGTTTGTATAAGGTTTTATAGTCCTAAAGTTATTAATTTTTGAAATATTTACACTTTTATTAAGAAAAATGATAATATTTAAAGGGCTGTGGATTAAGTTTCCAAGGTAATAAAAATGTAAATGACATGTCAAACTTTTTCTAGTGTAGTGTTATTTTTAAATAATTTAATATCTTTGACATCATTTTTTCAAAATAATTTTAATTATTTAATAATTTAATTTTTTAATAAAATACAAAATTTTCAAACACCCTGTACAATGGAACCTTGATTTTTCGTCAGGAACTGGACCAAGGGTATGATGGATAATGGACAAAACAGTTAACAGAACCAGCGGCGGCTCGTGGCCTAAAAAAGTGGTGAAGATGAGGCAAGCTTGCCGGAGCCAAAAGGAGTTTTGGTACCTACTTCGCGCCCAAATCTCATTAAAAATTCGTTAAAAAAATGTATAGAGTTTAGGGCTCCAATAACTTGAAAACAGTTTTTTAGGGCACTTATACTAGATACAATTTATTCTGTTTCACTGGGGTATTTTAGTTCTGAACCTTGACATTTCATTGAGTGTTTTTCGGCGATTAAAACATCACGCCTGTTAAAACGGGTTGGGGAGTTTCGATTCAGCTGCCCACTCTGGGTCAGATGCTGATTGCAGCCGACCACTCTGGATCAAACGCAGATGTTTAAAATACTGGTTGGTCGACCATGTAAAAGAACATCCCTTTTATCTTCATTTTTCCAATGCCTAAACGGAGTCTCTAATATATTACACACCAAGTCATTAATTGGATTCATGTCTGTCTAAAATTATTTTTGTCCAAACGAAATCCATGAGAACACTTTATATCCGAAATCCGAAACAAACCACAGAGAAATGTATTAATAAAGTGCACTAAACAAATAAAATTAATACTGTGACTAAACAATAAATATACTATACACTATTATATAAAAATATCTATATAATAGACTAAATTTCAAAATATTGTTGCTGAGAGAAATTTCCGAAAAATAGGAATACCAAATACACATCCAACAGTGGTAGTGAAGACCGATAATGAATTTTTAGACGGAACTGCACTCGCCAGTTTTCTCAGCTATCACTAAGAGGCTGACGTCACGTTGCCATGGCAACCGTGAACGCTTGTGCAGATGGATTCCGCATTTCAAAAATGATATTCACCTATTTCTGAATCGTACACGGCTAGTGACACAGGTCAGGACTTGACCGTCAAGTACCTACCGCAAATAAAGCTAGTTGCCTTTTTTAATTTTTAGATTAATTAAAAGAGAATAAACAATTTATTTCATAATTTAGATATAATAATGTTGCTTTCATTTTTTATTTATTTGTCTCAATTTCATTATATTTTTTTGGTGAACCTCACTTTCACCTTGCCGGCCTCCGCTGAACAGAACATTAAAAAAAATTAAAAATTCATAGTACAACTCTCAAATTTTATTTATATGTTTTGTTTGACAATATAAGAGGGATTGTACAATCGAATCAAATTGGTTTAAAATATTCTGAAATCTTTGTTTGTTTTACTGTTGCTTCACTTTTTGCAACGGCTGAATTTCTTAATCTGCGTAAGATCATACAATCTACTTTATTAGCTTCTTCTTGTCAAGAATACCACTTGATAAATCGTTGCATGTGCGATGCAGCTTCTCTAGCATTTCAACGATTTCATCATATGTCAGCAACCGATTATAGCCTTTGCATCCTCATCGCAAATTAACCATTCGTTTATGTCATCTTTAGACAAAGAAAACAAAACAGTTGATTCAGCCATAACTTCATTTGTTACCGCATCACGCTCGGCCGTCAAGGCGGCATTTTCATCTTCGTTTGATTCAGACCATAATCTATTCCACACTGTTTTCAGCATTACTTCCGAAATATCAACCCAAGCATCCGCAGCATTGTCGACTGCCTGTTTTAAATTGTATCCTTTCCAGTATTCTTGCAAAGATATTCCTCTTCCATAACGAGGTTTTGAATATTTTTTTTTCTGTATCGTCTTTTGAAAGTTTGAATGACCAATTGATCCATTGGTTGTATCAATGATGTATTTGCAAGCAGAAAAAAGCACGTGATATTTCCATCATCACTTCGCAGTATACCGGCTTCACATTGGGCAGGTGCATTGTCCAAAATGAGAATCGCCTTTGGTGGCAATTTTTTTTATTGCAAGTATTGTCGAACGTCCGGTATAAAAACTTTTTTGAAAAAACAGGGTGTTAAAAAATAGATCAAAAAATTTTGGTTTGCAGTACATACCTTTTTGTTAAGGATATAAAAAATCTTTGTTCAGATGTAAGAAGGTTGGTAAAGGTTCAAACATTAGCAAACATACACCAAAATTTTATTAAACTATCAACAAAAATAGTTTAGTAGTTCTCTTGGCCGGTCGAGGCCGCTAATACTTGTAAGGCGAGCGGGACGGGCAGAAAGGGAAATGCTAAGTAGGGTGAGCGGACTGGGCCCAGACTTTGCACACTTGGACCCATTTCCGGCCATCTACCTATCTTATTATCTTATTTCATTCACTATTCTTATGTTGATTGCCCTTTGAAGACTTTGGTTCTTGACATTTCACTTTGCTTACCATGTCCGACAACGGGAGGCGGCGCGTTGCCGTGTATCAGTGTCATAAAACGACACTAGCGCTCAGAGGAGTAAACCTCGATAAAAATCCGTAACCACACGGTGTCAGGCGATCCGTGTCCAAGTGGTGAATGGCCTAGCGTAAGATGGCCGCAAACCGAGCCTTCGGAGAACTGGCGAACCTCCGCTGTATTTTAAGCCTTAGTGTGGGTAATTGCGCACTGCCTCGCCGGACAATACAATATCGTCCCTATTCGTGGGAATTATATGGATAAGTACTTAATCAAGCAAAAAAACCCAAACAAAACAAAGAAACTATGGAACAAATTGGAACAAGCTACGAATGCGATGATATGGTGTACAATAGCAGTGAAGGGAACATAGGAAAAATCCTCAGTGAAGAAGAAAAGAGGAAGGAGAAGATGATGTTTGGAAAAAGAGGATTTGTTGGAAGGTCTCCAGTCAGGGTCGGGACCTTACCAAGAAGGATCTTCCAAGGGAGGCAACCTTACAAAGGAGCTTCTCACTTGGAGACAAAAGACCTGCGGAGTAGGAGGAGAGCTTTGACATAACGACTATGGTAAGAGCAATGGAGAAACTTACCAACGTTACAAATAATTTATTGAAACTAATGTCCGACCATACAAACACGAAGGTTGTGATTAAAAATGAAATAAAAAAACTTAAAATGAAAAAAAAAGAGAGTCACCGAAGACATGGAGGGCACTTTCAGACAAGTCGCGCTCGGTAGCGTCGAGAAAGGAAAAATACTAGTAAAAAATACCGGTGATGAGGTCACGAATCACGATGAAGGAAACTGCAAGCGTGTTCACACAGGTGGATTTGTGTGAGGACCCGTGGTCTGGTTCCCCCCTGCCGGATCTTGGATTCCGAAGTCCATGATCATTAAAAGTATGCATACTTTCTTCCTCTGTCATGAGAAGCTCCTGGCCTCCTACATCTTTATGCCGTTGGCCAAATTTTGGTTCATCCGCCTTCGGGGTCGATTTCTCAACCCCAGGACGTTTGGTTACGTTGGGTTAGGTCTTTTTTCTACAAAAATTTATTATAAAAGATAGGTTTTACATTCTATTAACTGTTTATTAAAGTAAGTGATTTTCATGAAATTTTTTAATCATTTAAAATTGGCAACAATGTTGCGTTTACATGAATTTTTACTTCTTCTCTTCATCTTCTTTTTAGAAAAAAATTCTCCCCCGAAAAAATTAATGAAAGAGAGATAGAAATGATCACAAAGTTATTGAACTCAGGGGAAAAAGACTTTGAAAAAATAGAGGAAATTCTAGAAATTGAATGGGAAAAAGATCATTATACGGTTACCAAAACGGGAAGAGGAAATAAAGCAGCAGGCGACTTTATAGTGGTTATGGAACCTGGACTTTTCTTTGAGGGGGAAAGGTTCCACGACCTGATAAAGAAAAAACCGGAATTAGGAATATGTACTGAATGTACATATACATCAGGACAAGTAGAATACTTCCAACTTAATACTATAATCACAATTACAAGGAAGGGCCAGGAGGGGAAGAACCGAGGAAGCCGTCAGACCATTTTTATGGTCCCTGTGGAAAAAGGGGAGACAGAAATGGACGGGGACAAGAGGCTACTGGCAATTCTGTCTAAATTGAGGGAAGACATAAAGATTGTAGGGACCATAGAGGCATCCCTAAAAGTAGTGGGCGGCTACAGAGGTAGGAAGCTCCTTGAAGTCACCTTTAGAGATATGGACCTCAACCTCGTGTTGGAGGAGTATAAACAAGAATTAATTAGGGCAGGGATGCAAAAGGTTATCGTGAAAGGAGGCGGAAAATCTTATGTCGAGTTGCTGAAACAAATAAAGGGTAGCGTAGACACGAAGAAGGAGGGGATTAGTGTCAAAAGCGCTAAAAAGACCAGGGACGGAGATCTCATCCTTGAAGTAGCAGGGAAAGAACAGGCCGAGCGCCTGTTACTCTATTGTGACCCGTACGGAGGGAAACACGGTAGACGTCCGGGGTTTTCAGGTTTGACATATTTGACATAGAGGGAGATGAACAAAGGAAGAAATTCTGAGACAGGTGAGATATACCGGCAGCAGGGGGGCTAATGACGTCAAACTCGTC